GTCTAGTTTTAGTCGACGAAAACTGATGACATTTAGTCTAGTTTTAGTCAATGAAAATTGTATTTTAGTCTCTTTTTAGTAATGCAATTCTATTTAACCCAGTCAATATAGTACATGGCTCTACGCTTACTTTTCTTTTTAGGAGCACTTGTGCTCCTAACTTAAAAAATTTAGGAGCACGTTCAATTTTATGAGCACCTTCTAGACAATTATCCAAAATTTTATCAAAAAGTAGCCTTCCCATTACGAGGTGATATTTGTCTCCTCTAACTTTATTAAAAGTATGTCATCTTCTGTCAAATTCTTTAAAAATTTATATTTTATAAGCTTTTTAAAATTTTTTATTAAAACGACAGAATAAGAACAAGTAGAATAAGTTGCATTATACATTTAATTATAGTCATCGTCACATGACCAGCATTTACGTTGCGTCTCGTCTCCTTTTTCGTCACGTGATAAAGGTTCGTTGACGACGATATTTAGTCATAATTTTCGTTGACGAAAGCAACACTAATTCAGAGCCAAATTACAGGAGGGTAAAAATGACTTCAGAAAGATGGCAGCATCATTACGTTAGTTTTACACAGAGACTGGTCTGTTAGTTAAAATCTGTTGACTTTAGCAATCTTTTATTTCATTATGCGCCAATTGTGATTTTTCTCTTCAATATTGGATAGATCCCCAGCGACACAGAATCAAGCTCAGACCTCTAAAAGAGCTAGGGCCATATTAGACATATTAATGTCAGTTGTTGTAGAATCGGTGTGATATTATTATATCTGACCATGCTCCCATTTTTATTGGCTTGAATTATTCTAATTTAAAGTGCCCCTATTATGGTTAATGAAAGGTTCATATTTTGATCTTGGCAATCCCCAACAACAGGTTGACATGATGCATGCAAGGTCAAAAAACACTTTCATTATCTTATAATATGCATTTACCTTATTTGCTCAATTACTTCCAAACGATTCGCTCAACAACTAATTTTTCCAAACCCCTCCTTTGCGTGACGCTAATCTGCGGTGATTGGTCTGATTAGTCTCATTTTAATGTCATCTGGCCTGTGATGCCTGATAAAGCAGCGTTTGTGAGCGCAGTGCTGCTTTGTGTACAGCGTTACCGGGGAAACCGCTCATTTTACCGCTCCAAAAGCGGCACCTAGTGGCAAAGAATTGAATTTGCATTTTCATTCAGACCAATGCGAAAATCGACTGATGGTCAAGTTTTCCCGGGTCTGCGCGCGCAACAAGTGGGCGGGCAATATGCTAATGTTTCATGTTGACGTCAACATGAAACGACTTGGGATTCGTTTAAAAATGACTCATTTCAATGATTCAGAGTCGACTCTTTCTTTTGAGAGACAACTTTATACACGGTGCACTTTCAGATTTAAAGCTTTGCAGGATGTTTTCATTCACTTAGAGCTCTGTTACACGCTGCATGAAAGGTAATTTTCAAAAATCCATAATAGGGGCACTTTAACTCTCCCACATAAACGATGGCGATATAGTTCATTTTGGAATTTTTGAAACTACTGTGGGAATCAACCAAGGCATACATTCTATACTTTACTTTACTGTAATAACAAGGTAATTAACAATAGGTTTAAATCCTTTTATAAGCAGTTGTATTCCTCACAATTTAATTCTGTTTCTAAGCTTGATATAAATAATGTTTTTGCAAAGTTATCATTATCTCAAATTTCAGATTTACAGAGAGATATTCTAGATAATCTGATAACACTTCCTAATATTAAGGCCCCAGGACCTGATGGCCTCAGCACAGAATTATATAAAATCCATTATATGAACTGATACTGCCTCTTTCGTTGAGGGAGGCCAATATTTCCTTAGTTCTTAAAAAGGGAAAAGCATCGAAGATAAATTCTTCTAAGAGTGAAGCCATACCCCTCAATAGTTCGCACCGATTAGACCCAAGTATATCATATCCATTATATATATATATATATATAGATATATTAGGGCTGCCACTAACGACTATTTTTGTTTTGATTAATCTGTCGACTAATTTGTCGATTAATCGATTAATCTAGACGATTAATTTCCCACACCCAAAAAAATCTACAATTTTAAAGAACATTTTATTAAACTTGCAACTGTGCCATTCAGTAGTGTACCATAAAAAAGTATAAATGTAAACAAGCCATTGACTAAATGTAAAACTAAAAGAGTAAAAATGTAAACAAACCTAATAAAAATGAAATAAAAAGAAAATAATTACAAAAGTCTGAGAAAGTCAGCATGTTCTTAATGTCAATATATCCACATGTTCTGGGCTTCTGTTCATTACAGCTGTTTTACCACGGTCACTGCTGTAAATCACTGATCAGTGTGTGAACAGAAGCTGATGATTATTGTATTTACACCGGTGAAACTACTATACAACAGTATATAATACTTCACTATAGTACAAGTCCCAGAAGTGCTCACAGTCACCGGATCAGTGCGTTTGTCCTCAAAACAGAGCGTGAACGCAGTGACCCACATCAGCTCGTCTAAAGTTACCCACAAACCCCAGCGACACACACAAACCAGCCCAAACCAGTTTAACCTCAAAAACAGACTCTCTGACACAGAAAACACTGATCCAGCTCATGACAGAAAACAACACCGTGCACTAGTGTTCATGCTTTCAGCTCACACATGAGCATTTCAGACAACAGACAAAACCATATGAGCTTCATATCAACATCAGTATTATACAGTGAGAGCTGCAGGAGGAGATTTGCAGAAGAAAATGCAACATTTAATGATTTTTTCCCCCTTTCATTTTAGTTAAAAGTCTTAGTAATTTTATCATGGTTTGTCACTTTTGCTGCTTTTTAAATGTCTACATAGCTTTTATTTATTAGTCTTTCTTTATAAAGCAATAATCCCCGTGAAGCCGTGGTTTACAGTGAGTTTATAACAGCTAAGGGGTGTTGTTAGGTACGACG